TGTTCGACTGCGACCATGAGAGCAGCACTGATGACTATCGGACAATTGAGCTTTTATGACCAGATTAAAACAATGTTATTACAAACTGGCTATTTTCAGGATAATCCTTCAACACACGTTTTATCCAGTGTATCGGCAGTAAGTGCCTATAAATATTGAGACTTATCATTCTAAATTTATGATATATTCGAAAAGAGATAATGTTTTACATCCTTTTGTGCTGATAGGGCGCTATTGCAACAACGCTTACGCAACCTCTAGATGTTCTTAAAACACGAGCAATGAATGCTAAGCCTGGAGAATTTAAAGTAAGTAGATCCAAATCTAAATGGAATAAATTAAAAAATATATGTAATTCGCGACTATATTATATTTTCTGTACAGAATCTAATAGAAATCTTCCTATATACTGCCAAACTTGGGCCACTGGCTTTCTTTAAAGTAAGTATGATTGAAAAAGATCTTTATGTCGCTATATAATTTTGATAAAACCATGCAATATAAATTATTTCTATTTTTAGGGCTATGTACCTGCATTTATTCGGTTAACACCGCAAACTATTCTCACATTTGTATTCCTCGAACAACTCAGATATAATTTTGGATTCTATCCACAATCTATAAAACCATAAATTATAAAGATTGAAATATTTTTGATAAGCAGAACTTTTGTAAGATAAATGGATTCGTTTCTTGTCAGATATTGTATAAGAAACAAACGGATAGTGTTACTATAAATCATGCAATTCGTAACGCAAACATAGATCAACATGTGAAAACATTCGCAGCAAAAATATTTAATTACTAAATCGCATACAGTTTTAATAATTAAGAGTTGATCATTATGTTTCTATCTAGAGATATTTCAATCAAATTATGGTTGTAATTTTCAATTGATACATTCCTTATATTAATTGTGATATGTTGATACAAATGCAGTTATATATATTTTAAAGCATATTTAATATATGCATATATATTTATATATACATTTATAAAAAAGCCACATAGATTATTTATATTTATATTTAATTATATCTTTTATTTGTATACGAAGTGATCCTTTAAGTACAAAAAATGAAAGTTATACATTTTACGAAAATTAATTTTTATAAATTTATCTTTTTAAGGCCTTCTATACTTCAAGTTATTCTATTATTTTATATTATACCAATGTGTGAAATGTATAGTACAAAATTCATGAAAGAGATGATATATAAAGAAAATAATTTTTTTTATTATATTGAGATATGCATGTTTATTTTAGCAGTATATGAATAACTTGCTATTGAAATGTACATTACTTTTATGATAAAAATATTGCAATTAATTTTTAAATTTCTGCTTGTAAGTTAAAAGTAAAAATAAAAGGATATATTCGGAATCTTTTTAATATGCAAAATATTAATATTATAGTAGTACTAGCAGATTATAGTAGTAGATTTCCATTAAATAAGTTCGATTATAGACGTTTCAGTAGATAGTCTAATAACAGATAACATAAACCCCAAGTTAAATTGATTATTTGATAAAATGAAATATTTGATTCATTTTAATGATTTTTTATTAAAATGAGAATTTCTGGGTTTTTATCGCCAATCTATTATATTCTATTGATTTGATTACATTTATTATGCTGACACTTCCGTCGATTAAATTTATAAAAATCTTTTTTATAATTAGAGTGATTTTTTAGAAATTAGACTGATGAGAATAAATCAATTAAAATAAATAATTCTATTTTCTGTCACAACGGATCTTGGTGTTTAATAATATTCACATACAAATTTCCGCAAATACAGTTTTTAATTTTATAAACCGCAATTGCCAATTCGAATGATCGGACTTGAAATGCAATCGCAAACTAAAATATTAATATCTCAAATTAAAATAATCATCTGATTACTGATCTTTAATACTGATGCTAAGAAACATTTTAAAAATTTAGAAAGAACTTATTGCGAAAAATACCTAAAGCTAGAATTTGAACTCTTACGATTGCATTTCCAAATCTGATAAATCGGCGCAGTTCACTAAAACTGGAAAATGTATTTGCAAAAATTTACATGTTATTAAACATCAAGAACTGTTCTAACCGAAAAAAAAATTATTTCTTTTAATTAAAAGTCTTTTTAACAGATTTGATTATAAAATGGAATAATTTTCTTACAATCTTAAGTTAAAATTAAAATTAAGAAAGCCTATCAAGGATCCAATATTGGATATTGTGTAAATTAATTTATTACATATGACATTAATTTATACATTTCGGCCTGCAGTTAGAGTCCTCTTCAATCAATTGCAATTAACAATACTTAAAGATTGTCTAATTAATAATTCAATAATCAATATAAAGAATAATTATACAGAAATTATGTATTTTGCGGATTATCTCCAAATTCATTCTTAGAAATGCCAACGTTTCGTGAACATTGCAATTCACTTAGTTTCTATATATTGTAATATTATTTATATATGTGTGTATATATATATATATATATATCATATAATATATTTTTATCACAAACATTTAATATTACAATTAAAATTATTTAAGTGGAAGTATAATTTGTTTGGGTATGGTAAGATTTATATATATTTTTTCCATATTGTTTTCTGAGAAAAACTGTTCTGCATAGCTTTCATAGCTCATTCCACATAAAGCTAATTCTAGTTTGTTTAGATCTTCATTTGACAACAAATTGATAACACCTGATGGCATTGCAGATGCCGAAAACATATTACAATATGGTGCCAAACTACAGGAATTTGTATTGCATATCACAATAACAGAATTACCAATAGTTAAAATTTGTGTTAATTGACGGAATAAAACAGTTTCATTTTCTGCCTTCAAAATAATAATGCCCTTTGGATTACGAATTGTCGTTATTTCTAATCCTCCACTTTGTGAGCATGATAAAGAATTTTGATAGATATATGAGAATTTTATGTCTGTTGATATTATATCTGCCAATATAGATTTACTAAAAAAAAAATATGAGAAAATCAGTTGTTAAAAATTATTGTTGAGAATAATTAAGTGCAGAAATACACAAATTTAAGCAGTATAAAAATATATAAAAACCTTCTAATAACTTAATACATACCCGTTGCATCTTAATATAGATGCAAATTTGGACAATATTTGCACTCTAAAAGTGATAGGTTTAGTACTCCAAATTTTGAATCCTTTTTCAGCTGAATTAATACATTTGTTAACATCTTTACTACAATAATATGTCAATGAAAATTGTATATAAATTTTATTAAACATCACAAATTTAAGAGAATTATAATTAAGATCAAGAAAATATGCTGTACCTTGTTGCATTTGCCCACTGACTATCATTATATATCCAATATGTGTTTTCTACAGGTTGCTGCCACATACCATCATAAAATAAATTGTAAACTATACTTTTCTGCATATTTGGTTTTTTTATACAATCATCGAGATTAGACTTGGACCGTTTAGGCAATGTTTTATCAAATATTTTTGTATAAGGCAAAAGTACAATACCACAGTGGAAGTCCATGTACGTATTTATAAACAAAACATCTCTCTAAATAATTAAAAAAAAATAATATTAATAACAATTATAAAAATTGTCTAAAAAACTGCATCATATTATATAATAGAAATGCTGTACATTTAAAGATGTTGCTAAGTTTTTAGCAAATACAATATCTTCCGTCCATATGGATACAATTTTCATTTTATTAGGTATACCGGCTGTAAATAATTCGTTCTTCGATCGAAATGTATTAATATCAGATCTCAAATCTGACATTCCAAAATATTCCTCCATAAGCCATAAAAATTTTTCTTTTATTGGTTCTTGGATCCAAATTTTGTTTAAATGCAATGGTAATTGAATTCTAAAATAATTAATGACTGCATACAAATCTGCATCCGCTAGAAGTATTATTTCATTGGTGTAACCTGTCAGAAATATTTAGAATCTTAAGTATGAGAGAAAAATTAATTTTTATTACATTACTAATATATTTTCTTACTTATAACTTCATTTCTTAAATGTTTATATTGAGTTTCCAGTACAGAATGTCGACTAAAATACAAAAACAATTTATTTGTGAAATTGATGACAATATTAACTTAAATATAAGAAATATAAGTAACAAATGATTAATGGTATTCTTTCTTGAATACATTTAGATTATTTAGAAGAAAATATATGTACGGTAATCATTTGTTATTTATTTTTCTTATATTTCATAATAGTTACAGTTTATCATGATTACAGGATAGCATTTTCCAAAAATACGTCCATTGTATTATCAAGTCCTTTATATATTTCCGAGATTGTAAATATCACTAATAAGACTAAATCATCTTTCTTGTATTCTTCTAAAAAAAAGTTCAAAATAAAATACAAAAAAATTTGGTGCTTCTATTATTATAAACTATTGTTGTTCATAAAATAAAATTTGCATAACACAAATAACAATTTATCTTTTTTAATTATGAAGATAACATTACCATATTTATTGCCAAACATAAGCTGCATACCAATATTATTTAAGTATTCAATAATAGTAGTAATTATATCTACATGTTTACAAACTGATTGAAAAAGAGACAAATTTTTTTCCATTATGGATGCTGCTTTAAGAAATCTGTAAATACATAATTAAAAATTACAAACGTGAGAACACAACTTTTATTATTTTTATCATATTTAAATAAAATTCTCATATCTAACTAAATTTCATTTTTTCACAAAATAACCAAAAATTTCTTGAAAAATTTCGCTTTGCTAAGAAGACTCAACAGTTATCCATATTTATATTTTAGAGCTATGTTACAAAATGTCCTTTCCAAGAAAGATTTTATTCTATATATCATAGTATGTTACATATACTAAATGCATTCCGAGTAAAATTTTTCTCAGAAAAGATGTTTTGAAATGTATCCAGAAATGTGAATTTGTTTACCTTTCTGAAAAATTATTAACATCTGTAAATTTCATTTCTTTGGCTAAAGCAAATATTTCATTGTACTTGCATAGCAGTATCTAAAAATAAGTTCAATAAAATTATGTTTCACAAACAATGGACTAAGGTGTTTACTAATTAATATTAATTTTTATAAGTTATTAATAATATATTCATACACACACACACACACACACACACACACACATACACATGTATATTTATATATTTATATATATATTTATACGTACATTTTTATCATATTCCAAATTGGTATAATATTTGTCTATATCTTTCAGTTGTTTGTCCATAATTGTTATTATCAATTCCAATATTCTTAAAAAATATTAGGCCTCTTTCTCCAACTCCGATTATTAATTACCAATAGACGAGTTCAAGTTGGCAAAGATTAGAACACCTATTATGAAACAAAACAGAATTTTCGATTGAAATTATTCAATTATTCCCTAGATTTCTATTGTAAACACGTAAAAATTAAGGTTGCGCTTCATATGCACGATATATGCCACGTCTCTGATTGTAGACGGGTCTTCATGCCTATTGATTGATTGCAGGACAAAGAGATTTTCGGATCTCTCTATCCTACAGCCAATCACAGGCCTTGGAAGTCTTGTACGCACATGAAATATCGTTCGTAGAAGCTATGGTCGCGTCATATTATTTCGCAGCTGATAGATTTCCTAACCTCAATAAATGTCAATTTTAACTTGATATTTTGGTTCGTGGAACAGAGTGATGCTCTGACGCCATTCTTGGCTAGATTCATTCGTTTCGAGCAAAAATGCGTCGAATAAGCCTAATTTTATCGATTTCTGATGCGACATTGATAAACTGAACAATTACCTTTTTATTTACAAATATATAATGACTGAATAAATACAAAACAAAATGGATATAATAAAGGAACATCTGCTTGTACCAATGAAGTATATGATACTAACAGATGAGAGAATTTGTTTGACAGCTCACAGAAACTGGCTCTCCCGATTTTTAACAGTTGGCCCATTGAATTTTATCTGTCATGATCGTTTATCCAATGATGAAATTGCAGCACAGCCTACTATCGATGAATTGGGTAGCGATTGGCTGAAAATTTATGCAAAAGTATTTTTAACATTTTCATATATTTTAAATAAAGTGTACAATGAGGCAATAAGCAAAGCAGTAAAATAAAATTTTGTTATTAGGTATATGTAAAACAACACAAGAATGTAATTCCTTTACCAAGAGGAAGATCTATTAATAATATAAGGAACCAAGCAGAGTTGATGTTTTCGCAATTGTTGCATTATGTGGCAGAAACTAATTATCGAAATCTATGGAAAGAAATATATAAAAAATATTACAGTATGTATTTGATGTTCTACTTAAAATTTTTAGATTTAAATTTTTAGCGTTTTGTTACTAGATGTATTTTTTTTTATATAAATTAATAATTTCTTGTAAAATATATAGATCCCTGGAATTATGTTGAGCAAAAAGAACATTCTAATATCAGTGCTAATGTAAGCGATGTTATTATTATGCATGAAATACTGAATAGAATGTACGGCTGTACAGTAGTACAAGTGCAACATGGTGTAGTTTCATCGGTATCAAATGGTATAGTGTCTAAAACACATTGTAATCTGGTTCCAATCCATTTTGTCATAGAGACACCATCTGCATTTATAATGTTTTATGAACAGACTGCCAATTATTCTCTTCATGAGTGAGTATACACATCATATTTATGTATATATTTTTAATATATATTAATAATTACGAGATATTTCTGTATTCTGTTACTTATAGATGTGTAATGTATAGTCCTGCTGCTCTTAATACAAGTTATGGAAAGCCTTTGTTTATAGTTTATCAGTTATTGAGATTATCCAGAGACTTGCACGATCGTGGTCTTGCTTTAGGTGAAATTACACTCAGTGATATGTTAATTACAGACAATTTTACTATTCAGGTATATTTCTCATAGAAGAGATATTTATATAGTAAACATTATTATTTTAATATATTTAATATTTACAAGATATGTATAAGTATTTAACAAGTATTCAATATGAAATAAGGAAAAGAATATTTTATTTGAATTTTATTCTTAGGTATTACCGAAATTAAATGATAATATTTATCTAAAACCTGATAGCGAATGTACAAGTATTTCTCCGGAACATAAAGAGAAAAATTTGAGTAGCAATGTTTATGCTAAAAAAGATGACATATATCGTTCAACTAATACTGACTTTGGTTTAAATGAGAATATTCAGAAATTATGTGAGATGTGGATGTATAATTGTATTAATAACTTTGATTATTTAACTGCGCTTAATAATTTGGCTGGTAGAAGATATGGTAATCCCAGCTGCCATCATGTTATGCCATGGGTGACGGATTTTACAACAAGAAATGGTGGTAATTGGAGAGATCTAACAAAGTCGAAATTTCGATTAAATAAGGGAGATAGACAATTGGATCTTACATTTGATTCGCAGTCAACAGAGGTATATAAATTATATGTATAAGTGCAAAAAGATTTATACCATATTGAATAGTCAATTAAATCATAGGTCGGACACCATGTATCTGACGTCTTGTCAGAGATTACCTATTATGTATATCTTTCACGTCGATATAATAAGTCTGTGCTCTGTAAACATGTACGACCATTATGGGTACCTGGAGAATATCCGGCTTCAATTCAAAGATTACATGACTGGAGTCCCGATGAATGTATACCACAGTTTTTCACTGATCCCAGTGTTTTTAAGGTAACATACAAATTATATATAGTCTAGTTAAAATGTACTTTTTTTTGGAAAAAGATAATGATTTTTTAATATATCTTAAAATTCTGTGTCCTAATGAATAGCTCTTACACGTAGATGATTTACGTGTCATTGACATATCACATACTACTACATCAATATCTCACGCACACATATACAATTTTCGTATAACAATAACGTTTTAATTAGACGTCTAAGTCCACTTTTAAGAACTCGATGTTGTTTCTTCGTACAAACTAATCTATGGACTTTTATTTTGTAAGTACAGATTGCACAGCTTTAATATGAAGCAGATGTTGTCACGTGATAGCTCTGGATTCTAGAGCACTATATTGCAGGACTAAGAAATAATAAAGATCTTAATTTCGAATTTTTTTATCGTTTTCAGCATAGACTCCACTTCAGATACATATTAATGTATATATTTTAATCTTGGAAAAGGATTTTTGAATCAGTAAAAAAGAAATATTTTATGGTTTATTCTGATATACATTGACACGAAATATTAAATATCTTATAAACTATTTGTTGTTTGGTATCTACTTTGATATCTACTTTTATGTAAAGTAATTAAAGGAATCGTATTATGTGAAAGAAAATATATAATTCCTTAGAAAATCTTACGTAACTTTGACCTAATCTTAAGGATATCTCAAAGTTATTATCTTCTTTTCTCCTTGTAACCGATCAACTTTTGTCTAAAACTTTTTTGTCTTAATCTTAAGGATTTTGAGATATTTTACTGGATGAATTAAAATAGATCATTTTGTATAAAACATATGAAACATATGAGAAGAATCAAATTCAGAACCTGCCAATAATATAATCAATTATTATTATTTATTTATTATAAAGTCATGCCTCTGTAATATATGTATATTATTATTTAACAATGATAAAATATTTATTTTCTTTAGGTTTAATATTTAAAAAAAATGTCTTATTTACAGTCCATTCATGAGGATTTGCTAGATTTAGAAATTCCAGCATGGGCAACTTCCCCAGAAGATTTTATCGAGAAACACAGAGAAGCATTGGAAAGCCTTCATGTTTCAGAAAGATTACATCATTGGATAGATTTGACCTTCGGCTATAAGTATGAATGTAGTCTTGCTCAATGAACAGTTTATTATTTATTTGAATTTTTTTGACATATGTTTTTTACATGATAGATTATCTGGTTTCGCTGCTATAAAATCAAAAAACGTTTGTTTACAATTAGTCGATAATCATACTGATTTAACTAATTCTGGTGTTGTACAACTTTTCACACAACCACATCCACAAAAAATTATTCCGTCTCCCTATTGGGGTAAAGTACCACCACGTCTTCGATCGATATCTTCAATCAATAAAAGTAGTAAGTTTTAGACAAAGATCTCAAATTATTAGAAATTATGAAGACTTCTTGTAATTCTATCGTTATACGATTATAGAAAGTGATCAACCTACGAGTAGGATCAGTGATGATGAAGGTCACAGTTCTGGTATTGAAGAAGAAGAATCTACGATAGCGACAAATATATCAAGATCACCTCTTGTATTAAGTCGTTTGTTGAGTCGTTCCAGAGGTTCTTTGCTGTCAGAAGATAATGTTAAATCGGACAAATTCATTAATCAGCCCATTATTCTTCCAAAGGATTTCAATCCTGTTGCAGCACTCATACAAGTAGAAACTACACATGCTTTTATGCATAAGATTAACTATCAAAATTATAAACTTGCAACAGGATCACATGATTTTTCCACTAATTACAAGCAAATTGTGGCTAGCGGACGTATTAAGGAGCAACAAATACTAGGTTGTCTAATAGTAGAAATATTTCTAGCTGACAAATTCCGCGCAGCCTGGAATGTTGAAAAAGTATCATTCGCGCAAAGATTCACGACATGTCTAAATATCTTGAAGACATCGGCAGATAATTTACCGAAATGTATAAGAAACATTGTATCGTTATTGTTACAAATTGATATTATGCCAAAGAGTTATAATGTAAGCAATGTAGAGATGAATGACATTTCAACGGTAATTTTAAAACTATACAAGATTTTATATTATACAAGATGTTTCGTAATTATGAATAAAGATTTAATTGACTAATAAAACTTATGAAATTAAATAGAAAATAAGTTAGAAACAAGATATATGAATAAATGATCATATAATTATTTATTTCAGATATGATTGCGCTTATTTTTAATATATTTAAAATAAATTATATATAGAATTATTCCAACATTTTACTTTGATTATAGTTAGCGATCTTCTTACTTAGTTAATTTAAACAGAAAGTTTTATATTGTGAAATAGTTGAGATTTTGGAGAATTTGAAGTATCAGCAATTTGAAAACTTATCAAAAACATGGATATTTTTAAACAATTTTTTAAATTATTAGCTTATAACATATACATTCAAAAATTTTTTTAATTTCTTGCATGAATCATTTCTATTCATGAATCATTTTTGATGCATTATTATCTAAGTTTATCGATACACTTTGAATTGAGATATTAATCATTTTATAATACATGTAATGTATAAATAATGCAATTTATAAAAAACTCAATATTTTCAAAATAATTACTTTGCTGATCTATGTTCATTAAAATTTTTATTTGTTTCTGTGAGTTCTATTAGTCAGTTAAGTCTTTATAATTCTGAAAGATTTTATATTATTTTATTAAAAGACACATTTCAGAATTTATTATAATATACAGGGTACTTCATAACATGTAGATATAACTTGAGAATTAAATTTAGGATACAAAAATAACAAAACATATACATTTGTTTTATCCTTGTTTCCGAGTTACAAATATTTTCGTGTTTTTATTAATCCTTACGAATTGAGCTAGCATAGTATCTTCACCCGTTTTATTGACTTCTTTAAAGACAAAGAGGTATGAAGATGCTATGCTAGCTTAATTTTTAACGAAAATTAATGCAATACGAAATACATTTATAACTCGGAAACAAAGTCAGATAAAACAAATATTTATATGAACTTTTTGTATTATTTTTGTGTCCTGAATTCATTTCTGAAGTTATGCTCACATGTTATGGAATATCTTGCCTATACATGTAAAATATTTTATATTTAGATGAACGAGACTCCTTTTCGTTACCCGACAATAACATATATGGGTCTTCCGCCACCATCCGCTCATCAATTTCTTCAACCAATTTTATCTGGCAGTCTATTTCCATTTTCCAAATACTGCCAATACTTATAT